ATACATGTATTCAACCTCACTTATGCCTTCTTCCATCCTATGGGAAGCCTCGGGACGCTACAGGAGTGACCTTAGCTTCTGCACCCATGTCATGGCTTCATAAATAGCATACGTCCAAGTGTGAAAAAATGATGCAGTGTGTAGCACCTCGAGACGACGCCCTATTTAGGAGGCATTATATTAGGTTGAGGGCATGCATTCTAGGCGCAGGAGAGGTAATGACTTGGCTAGGTCCGAAAGCCGGCCCATGCGTACAAGGGCAAAAGAAGTGTCTAAAGAATCTTCAGGCATTTGGTAATCACTTGAATGGTGTGTTTTTCAGGGGTGTGAAAGTATGCTTGATATTGTTAAAATTCACGGCTATTAGACCATTTATAGCTATTACTTTTACTCGCAATATGTTCAACCATAGCGCCTCTCTAGTTGTAACAGTGTATTATGTAAAGCAATCGAAAGCATCAACACCGATAGATAGCAATGTTCCTGAGGGAAATTCGTGTATATTGTCGCTGCAATTTGAAGCTAAATTATAATGGCTTTCGTAACCTTAGTTCTTGACACTGCCTGTATTTAACTGTTAAGCATTATAATTTTAACATTTGAATCAAGGCTTATTATTACAGCGTTCCTGGTATCCTAGCTTATGGTAAGTGAACCTCGAATGCGTTGTTTTACTTACTCTCGGCAATCCGCACTTCTCAAGCCTGTGGATGTCACTCAGTAAGGGTCTACGAAGATTAAGTTCGGCAAGGGTTCACATATTGAGGTGTAGGTTTTACTCGGGCATTCGGACCGTTGCTCTTATTCCTGGCGATGGAATAGGTCCTGAAATATCATCCGCCGTTAAAAAAATTTTTGCCGTGGCCAATGTAGGTGTCTTTTGATCGAAGGAAATCATGTAATTGGCGTTTCCTATTTTCAGGTTCCAATTAAATTTGCCACTGTTGATGTAACCCCCACGAGATTGCCTGACGGGACCTTTGGAATGCCTCCTGAATCTCTGGATGTCATTCGTAAACTTGGTATCGGCCTGAAAGGACCTCTTGCAACCCCGATCGGGAAGGGTCATGGATCTCTAAATCTGGCTTTGAGAAAGTTAGTGTATTTGCAGGACACTTGTTAATTTGGTTTGTATTAGAGCTAAGATTCGTCCGCCTCTTGCACAGGGAGTTCAATCTCTACGCAAACGTTCGACCTTGTAAATCGGTAGAAGGCTACGAAACTCCTTACAAGGGTGTTGACCTAGTCACGATTCGTGAGAACACGGAGGGCGAATATTCGGGCATTGAACACGTGGTCTGTTTTAATTCCTTCTGAGTTCTGACTTCATGCTCCAATGACCTGTTGATGCGCTAATATATCCGGCATGTTTGTGTATAGCATCGGGATTGGTGTTAGTCAAAGTCAAGCTTTACTTTTGAGTTGGTTTATCTGTTGAATTTTAGTTTAGGCAGGACATAGTAATCAACATTTTCGTGCCTTTCATGCTTTGATTGTCTTTACTTATGATGACTGTTAAAGTGCATGCGACCCTCCATCATCCTTTTAAGGTGTAGATGTCAAGCTTTGGTTGAATCGTTGTAGACACTCGAATTAGTTTGAATCGGGCTTGGGATTGTATTAACAGAGGCCCCTAGTTGTCACAAATGAAGGAATGCACGTTATTATAAAACAAAGTAAATGGATGGATCTTTTACATCCACATCAGCTGGCGATGTCGTTTGTCTTCACTTCACGTCCTTGATCTCCTAATAATTTCATGCATTCACAAGCCTAGCAGGAAATTCAGCGTTTGGTTTTGAGTACGAACGGAAACTCCTTGCATGCCTCCAGTTGTGTAGACTCCTAATTTCGTTAATAGTGTAAAAAACGGGCTTTCCCAGTTAACATTTGGCACGTGTCTCATTCCAGTCTGTAAAAGCATGGTTCATTATGTTTGCACAAAATCACCGTCTCAAAAACCATTTTCTGCGGCTCAGTAGCGTTAATATTTCTTTGCAAATTCACGATAGACCGAAGTGGTTTAAATCAAGATCGGATCACGCTGACACGAACCCGGTTATCCAATTCACCTAGATGGACGCCATTTTCTTGCTACATTAAATGTCTAAGTCTTCTCTAAATGAATTTTTGGCATTTGCATTTGAGCGTTTAGGGTCTCTGGGGGTCGACCAGTCGAACTGATGGGAAGATCTTGTGTAGTTACATGCATAGTTAAGGCAAACGTCATTCTGCTCCTTGAGAATTTGAAGCTGTTCTTTTAGCTAAGTAAAACTCCAAATTGATTGCAGAATGATAGAACGTCAAATGCACTTAGGACTTAAGACTGATTAACTTGTCTACAGAGTTGAGTCAAAATTTTAGTGTCCACACAACCTTATATCGGCTTCATTAGGGTATGGCTGAAAACTATGAGGGTCGCTTGCTACTGTTTTGTAGAAATTGTCAAGTATCCTTTTTTTCCCCCAAAAAACCATTTAGATTGTTGATGGAGTGGTACAAAGCATAAAAGTGATCACCTATGAGGCCAGCTCGCGGGTAGCTGAGTTTGCTTTCAAGTTTGCCCAGGATAATGGGCGATCTACTGTGACTGCCGTTCACAAGGCTAACGTCATGTGAGTCTTAGACGGTTTTTTTTTTGTTGTGTTCGTCAAAATACTGCCTCTACCACCCCAATTAACGTGTGCTTTTTGATAAACTTTTTATTCACGATGTAAGTAGCCAGTTTAAGCCTTTGCTGCTTACTAGGGAATAATTTACTGAAAACTCCTATTGGAGTTTGGATTGTTGGAGACTTATTTGCCATTTTGCTTTCATTCGTTCGACTCGCTCTCTAGACCCTCCTTGCTACTGATACGCTATTGACTCCTCCGTTTGAAGGGAGTAAATTAATAGCTGTCCAAGTGAGTAGCAAGAGTACCAGACGAACGAGTAGTTTATCAACCGGCTTTAGTGCTAGAAGCGCTCTTATAACGGTAATAAGTGGACCAGGCAGTGAGGTACCATGTAAGAGCCTGAGATAGTGCATGCTCAAAGGTAATTTTGGTGAATACTCACTAGAAGATAGACAGACTCACTTATTTCACTATTTATCAATGTATCATGGATTTTCTAGCCTTCTTTTGGCAAATGCGAATTCAGAACAGGCAGCGTAAATGTGAGCATTTGAATTCGCGTAGCAAAGACCCATAGGAAACCGCTTAGTGCTCTCCATTTGTTAAGGAATTCATAGGCACGGTCGACCGTTTTTCACAAGGAAATTAATGCTTGTGTCTACTTTTGCCATTGTTTGGAGACAAAGTGGTCGAATCTGCATCATTTCCCTCTTACCTCAGTTCCACTACTTGAATACGATCGCGTAATGCTAATAAAGTGTAGCAATTATATGAAGCTTGGAGGGATTTCTCTCCTTTCATCCTGAGTGAACCTCCCCTTGATTAAGCCCTACCACAAAGGCCTAAGATCTGGCATTGTTTGTAAGATGGAATCCTATTTTCCATTGTTTAGTCCTGGTCATTTCTTAAAAAGTTTGGAAGTCTTTTTTGCCTTGCAAGCAAAAATCAAGCAAGCATGCATTAGATGTAATTGTTTGGCCTTTACCAACTGAACTACGTTAGTAAACTGGCGCGTTTGGAGTGCATGCCGTAGAATGCATTGTGTGTTGTTTTTGCGAAATGGTCGCTAGCAAATGCGATTCGGTAATTACCAGTAGTGTGGTTGAGCAATTACTTCCTGTGTCTCTCATCCACCGTCGGCCTACTTATAACTTGTTAATCGTGGTTCCTATAGATGATAATAACTAATACATTTAAAACCCATGAAAGCGTTTATTTATTGAGATGATGGTTTGTCGTTAATTTAGTGGTGTTCTCAAGCTCTGTAATTGGTTGAATTTCTCCTTGGCCGATCCATTGATGAAATGATTTTGTGTTTTGTTGATCGATTGGCAGTCTAATAGGCTGAGCTGCTGGTATGTTGCTGATTTTATTGGTCGGTTTGATGCCTAATTGACTGTCTTAAGAGTTAATTGGCTACTGACTCATTCCTAGTGTGATTGGCTAAATGGATCATGGATTGCATGGTCGACCAGGCGACCGGCTAACTAATTTAGTTGCTTGAATTTTTTGTTTAGTAGATTAGATTGGATGATAGGCTAATTACTTTGCTTGTTGTTTTACGATTGTTTGCTCCTTTGTTTACAAATTGACTGATTGTCCGATGCATTGAATGGTTGGCCCGTGTCTTGATCAGTTGGTTGCTTAATGCTGTAATAAATTCATAGCTCATAGGGAAGGTCAGGCTTTCAATTACTCACCAACCAGTCAATTAAATATTCGGCTACTCGTGATGTTAGCATTTGAGGCTCCCATAAATCAAAATGACCTAGTACTTGGGTAGGGCAGGATCGTTGAAGGGGAAGAAATTATGTTGCTTGCATATCCTCAAAGCTAAGACAATATGGCCACTGAAACCGGTAATCAAACAGTTAACACACCTTTCATGCATTTGTTACTTGATGTAGGTAGTTGATTTGACTGTCTAACCAACTGATTGCCTTTTTTCTCCTCCCCTTCCTCACAGGCGAATGTCAGACGGCATGTTCTTGCGGGCATGCAGGGAGCAAGCGGAGCGTTATCCAAATATCCACTTTCGTGAGATGTTCCTCGATTCTGTTTGCTTGGGTATGGTGCAGGATCCCCTACAATTCGACGTTCTTGTTATGCCCAATCTTTACGGCGACATTCTCAGCGATCTAGCAGCGGGTCTAGTCGGTGGACTCGGTGTCACACCAAGTGGTAACATAGGTCAGCAAGGCGCTCTCTTTGAATCGGTGTGTTGTTCCCCCAATAAATATTATCTTTTTTACACAATAACCAGTTATTTGACAGAATTTCGGTTTTATAATTATCTTTCTTTTTCTGTTGACTAACTTTATTAATTGTTTGGCATCCAGGCAAACCTATTGGTTGATAAGTGTGCTGATTGGTAGGTTGGCAGTTTTGATAGGTGGTAGATTGATTATTCAGTTAGTTGACTAAATAGTTTTATCACTCCTTTTTTTGGTTCATCAGTTAGTAGATTATCCGCTCAGTTGATTGGTTGATTAGTTGGTTGCCCAATTAACTAGTTAACTGTTTTGTGTTGCTGTTCCACCCCTTTCTCCCCTCGATCTCTTCTATCATTAATGTGCTGAGTTTTTTGACTGATTGCTCTCTCTATCCCGATAGGAGTAGATTGATCAGTTCATTAATGAATCGGTCGGTTGAATTACACCAACCGTCCCCTTGATGACACCATCTTGAGTTGGCCTTTTATTAACTGCTTGACCGGTCAGGTCATTGCTAAATTGTTATTACCTCTTGAATGGATGGCAAAGTAAGTCATTCTTTAGGTGGATAATTAAACTGATTTTTTTAGTTGTTATGCTGTTGGTCAGTGTACTACTTATTTGGCAATTTTATTTTCCCTGACTTATGTTTGGCTGAAGTAATCCCTGACAAATCTACAAAACTATTAAAATGAATTAACTATGCGATGGAACAGATGGATGCTTTTTTGAAGACCGCATTCCTTGAGTGAATTACCAGTTGATAAGTTATTTTACTAATTTGTTTGCTGATTAGTCGGATAATTGTGTTGACAGGTGCATGGAACAGCGCCGAACATCGCGGGTCAGGATAAAGCGAATCCCACCGCCCTCCTCTTCTCCGCCACCATGATGCTACGCCATCTGGACCTCAGTCACTATGCCAATCTCATTGAAGCGTCCGTGTTTTCAGTTCTTCATGCAAAAAAGGTATTTTGTCACATATTTGGTGGGTATGATGCCCTACAGTCTGGTTTTCTATAATTCACATATGGTGTTGGTTCTACTTTTAAGCAGATCTTAACAGTCTATGCATGATTGACACCTTTGCGAAGGCCTGTTACATCATCAAACATTCCTGATTGTGGCTGTTATTAGAGGAACTGCATTTTCCAGATGCTGATTTTTAGATTGTTTTTGGACCAACGATGCGTAGAGTAGGAGCGAGTCTTGGAAATCGTACCTTACAAACAGTAGCTGGAATGAGATCAAGTGATGGTGAGGTCGTGAGGTCGTGGAACGTGATTCTATCCCACAATATCGTATCGTACATAACATTCGCCAGTAGGTTGAAGGAGACGTTCCCTCTTGACAGGTCTTTGTTGTGGTATAGGACGCACAATTCCTTGCCGTGGTAACAAGATTGGAGGTCAGATTGACGCGATGAATGATGACATAATTGAGCTAAAATAGGCTTTCAAGCTGTTGTTACCGTCTCATGCATAAAGGTTGATACTTAAAATGTGATTTATGCCTTCGGACATAGTACTGCCTGTTTGCTGTAGATCTTTTTGAGTTTTGTGTTTCCTAGTTGCATACTTTTCTTCTCACAATTGGGAAATAGGATTTATGCTTGTTTGCATGCATTGCAGCACCTAACAATGGATTTGGGCGGAACTGCCAAGTGCTCGGAGTATACAGCTGCCATTTGTGAGGAAATTGTTCGAGGGCCTCATTGACAATCCTGTCATCGCTTAGTGTAAAGCATTTTGTCCCCTCTTGTCCTCATCATTTACCTCGCCCTCTCATATGGGTTCTTTTTTGTGTGTGCTATGTTTTCTTTTTTCCTTTTATCTTTTTTTACCCTGATAATTGTTGCAGTCTGATGGTTATTTTCAGTACTATTTGTTGCTTGCCTTTTCTTTAGTTGAAATGGCAATGAAAGTGGATTTGATAAGCTCATTTTAAATTGACTCAACAGTTGTGGAACTGTCTCCACCGCATGATGACTTAATTGACCTGCAATTCAGCCATTACGCGAGGTTTGTTTTTCTGTATGGTTTAGAACAATTGCCACTTCCAATGGCGTTGGAGGAATAGAAGATGACGTCCATGCCTGCCTTTGCATTGATGCACAAGGCGGAAACGAATACAGTGGTAATTGGGTTTACTCTGTTTACTCTCCACCCGTGACCTCATCTCAGGCTGAAACAGTTCCATAACACCGGTGTCAAACCCTAATCCAATTTGTTTAACTTTTAGGATGTGTGAATACTTGTATTCGAGACCGTTTCATTCACCGTGGCTGTTGACTAGTCCTTCTCTTGCGAGGGGATTTAGTGACAGGTTCAAACGATGGACATTCGTGTGACGAGCTTTCGGGATTGTTCACGTAGACTGAGGTTCACTGTTGAGAATTATGCATTGTTGAAGTGTTGCGTTCCAGGTGAGCGATTCATCACCGTGTTGACCGAAAAGTCTCCAGAACTTTGCATGTAAAAGACGTCGTTCATCGGCATGACTTTGCATGGCTTCCATTCCGACGTCATTGTAGTCGAGGTTGAGGCAGATAATAAAGAATTGCTCCTCGAGGCTGTAAGCATGTCTTTTAAGGGCGCCTAACTACCGTTTCTACCGATTGGTGCTGGAAAAAAGGGGATTTATTTGTGAATTCAAGTGTTTAGAAGGTGATCACTTAATTTGGCAACGATTTGGTGGTTGAATAAACCACCAATTTAGGTCTCAAGCACCCAAAGTGAGTGCATTACGCATACAAGCGTCTTTGTTTTTTTTTCAAATGTTTACTTCAAAACTTCTAGATGGGTTGTATAAAAAGGTGTGCTTGATAAGTCGCAAGAGGAGGGCTGACTACTTGTGTTTCAGAGAGAACAGATGGCGACCCGAGTGACCGCTAATCATAAAGGCAGTTACATGAACACGTCTCCAGCCATCAGTGCGTATTCGGTGGTGCAAAGAAACACCACCCATATGTCATTTGAGCTGGTTGTCAGCCCTTATGTGACTTGCGCTTGGTCTTCAGCAGCACATTTCTGTGGGACGAGTAAAGTGAAAATACATTGGAAGGAAGAATTTCCCACTTCTCTACAACCAAAGAGCTGAGAGAGAGTCTGCGTTTTGCATCCACCGTATTTTTTTGTTTCACAGACAAGCTATTTGTCGACCAAAGTAACACTTCCGTCAATCATGCGGAAAGGTTCCCCTTTTTGGAGTTCTCTTACCATTATCTGCCCATAGATGTCGGTGGTGAGGCCTCTACTACACGAGACTGTGTTTGATATCGTTTTCCTCCGCATAAATCTGTTTTAGATCTGTACTCCAATGTCTTCAAGCATTCAAGCCGAGTGTAACCGCAGATCCGGACAAAACTGGTTTGAGGATGAAGTGTAGTTTCTCAGTCTCCTAGGCGATGATGCATTATGCGTGTGGCTTGTCTTTGGTGTTTCCTTGCCTCACCGAATATGCTGTAGTGGACAGCGTGATGATTTGCGGTAGCGAATTTGTTATAGATGGCTGCCGTGCGGAAGGTGTATCGCGGGAAGTGCCAAGCATGTCGCCCGCGAGTATCTTGCTTGCCTGACTGCTTATATGAATGTCGGGCATCTTGATAACCATCTTGCCTCTGCCATATAGGCTGGTCTTCTAGTCAGAGTGTAGCCTCATTTTCACCCTCTGCACTCAACCACAAGAATTGAGGTATGTTTAATGGCTTCTGCTACTAAACGGAAAGTCTTAGGACGCTACAGCCTCATTTGCCACCAGGGAAGTGGGGGCTATTTTTGTGGTTAACCTAAAGAACAGTTGTTGTAAGTTAAAGGCATTCGAATTTAATCGGTGTCTCTCTTTAAAAAAATGCCCTTATGCGTACCAGTCGACAGCTGTAACATCTTGCGGCCTCCATGAATATCACAAATAACAATTTTAAATGCTAAGTCTATCACAATATTCATACATAAGGAGAATGATTTGTTCGCTTGACGTAGCTTTAAGAAAACAATTAATTCTGTGTTACATATGACGTGCCAGCGAGTACAAACCACTTGCGGATGACTGGGCAACTTGATGTTTCGCTCATGCCAATGAGGACATAAAAGGCACCAGGAACTTATTGTATTGTTACCTTATCTTGACTACCATCAGCGTCCTTTCCAATTGCTTCCTCGTGGGCAGTTGGCTTATGTGGAGCTCACTGGGTATTGAACAAATTACAAGTGATGCCTATGATGGTTTGAAGGTGTCGAAATAAGCTACCGCTTCTGACCTGCAAGGCACATTTAAACGATTCTTTTGAGTACTGTTGACGGTGCTGGTCTTGGGAGGTTCATTCTGGACCGTCAGACGCCTTCTATTCCTCTGCTGATCCGTAGAATTCGCCCTCGCAGCCGACTGGAGGAGGGCCTGAGTAAAATTCTATCTTGTTATGAGTACGGGTTTTCACATTCGGGTCGGGACAGTCCATGGGTGAAGGAACCTTAACTACAGGGTAGAAGACCCTGCTGCTGGGATGGCGGAAGTTGCGGTGATTTTCTGGTGGCGGAAGTGGTTTTTGTACGTATGGCAGATCTCCTTTGTTGAAGGAATTGGTTTGACTTTCTTTCATTGAGCCTCGTGCGTCTGGTATGCGTCTTCTGCGGCATTAAACTCTTCTCTGGAGCCTTCCATTAGTTATAAAACATACACGGATATGGCATGTGCTGATGCTTCTTTGAAGCAAACCCTGATTCTGCGATCCATGAGTATCTGGCAAGGAGAAACCCCAGTCAGGTTATGAACGGTAGCTCGATAAGTCAGGAGGGCTAATCTTAACTAAAGGCCCAGGTTACACAGACCATATTTCCTTTTTTTACCAAAACACTGTCACAAAATTACACAGTTCGACAATCTACCTCATTCAATGGCGCAGACCAGCCGCTCCTCATATTATTTTTTGCTGAATTTCATACAACGCCCAAAGGCGAAAAGTGAATCGAAGGAATAGGCTGATGACTCAAGGCCAAAAATGCTGCAAACAGACGCTTCACCTTGAGCTGTGAAAATTATAAACAATTGAAATTGGGAAAGTAATCGAAAATAAAAACCTATCGGATCGTGAAGTTCTGCCAGTTTTTTTCATTGGTTCACTAAAGCAAACATAGATCTTTAAGAACATTGCTTTTTGTAATTAAATGAAATCGATTTATTTGTCAATATAATTTTTTTGAATAACTTTATAAAAGCATTACATAGCATTCAAAGTCCCAGTAGTTTAGCTTGCTTAAAGCGCAAGATTTTGGTTCTGTAATTTTCATTTGATCTTTCAAATAACCAAACTAAGCTAAATCGCAACCGACATAAATTTATTGGCGAACACTGCAACAATGCCATCTGCTTCCTTTTCTCACTAATATTATGGCGTCTCAAGGCTTCCCATCGCGTAAAAGAGGGTGTGATGCAGCGTTTAATACATGCATTCTAGGACCCAAAGAAGCGCTTAGACCCAGTTTAGTTCGAAGATCGTACGGCACGCAAGGTCAGAACGAAGGCCAAAGCGGTCATCAGACATACAGGTGAAGGCATAAACAATGCATAACATTAATACTTTTGTTCTTTTGGGCGATGTGCTATGCGCTCTCCTTGGAAAATCTCCAACATAACTCATTTGGGGGTGCAAGAAAGCACTTACAAGCCAGACACGCTAGTCAACTACCACCATGAAACTGAGGATTTTCACTCTGCCTTCTCAGCAGCGATAACTGTACTTAGTTTAATTTCATTCTAAGAGTAAAAATCACAGAAATTTCTGTTGACAATCAGTCATATCGTGAGATAGGCGTTGAAACACTGGTCTAGAACAGACGAACAACAAGGAAAACGGGATCAAACACAGTCCCGAGTGGAAGGGCATTTGTTATAGTTTCATCGACAAATAGACGTAAAACTGTGGTAAGAAAACCACCAACACTTCTGCATGTGGTTTGAAGGGGTATTGAATTATTTGTTAATAGCTGGTCTCATGATACGGTAATGGGGTAGAGTCAAACGCCAACAACATTTTCAACCCTTCTACTGTCAAGAATTTGAAAATCCCCGCCCAAATTATGTGTTACCTCCACATCGCGGAAGTTTCTTACACACTGTGGGTACTAGGATCGAAGTCGTAGGAAGGTTGACTTAGCTCTCCACTTCACCAGTGTACCCCCTTCGCTACTTACTAAGTAAAATAGGGCATTAATTTGAACTGAATATATGGATCAGTGGCAGAGGGAAAAAGAAAATTGGACTTTGACTTGGCTCAAACATCGATCAGAGCGCAATAGCGAAACGAACTCCAAAGCAATCCCTAGAGAATTAAGCTGTTACGCAAACAAAGCATTATGATACCAATTCCAGGATTGAATTCGACAGCATACGCAACGGCTCCATGATTCATGGCTAAGGATTTTCATTTTCTAATCAGGGGTGAACAGACGCGTTATCTTTTGCTTTGAGCCATGCGTTTAAACACATACATTCTATTGAGCATCATTCAAAACTCAGTTCCGAAGTCCCTTAATATTGAAGGAAGTCCTCTCATCAGTGGCTGACATCTCTTCGGTTGCCATCCGCTACCCGATCTCCTACATGCCCAAACTCCCGCAAACTCTAAATAGGCTGGATTTTTAAAACACTATCCGGTGGTTACTATAATAATTTCTGACTCATACGCTCCGATAACATAACCAGACTCACAAGTCCCATGCTGATGACAGCCAGGAATACCCCAAGATATTTTACTAACAAAGATATGCTAAAGCCAAACCACAGTTGACTTATCAGGAGCTACACATAATAAAGCCTAACCTTACACCCAGAACGAAATACATTTGCAGAAACTAATGAAAGTGCCTATCAAACGACCTCGAAGCAACCACTCAGAAGACCCGCGCCAGGACGCGATGACCTTGAAAAGCAGCCTACTGACCAATCACAAGGCGGCGTACGTGATTACCCTCCCGCCCCCAAACCTGATGCTATACGACTTTCCATCTCACAAGACACACATTGAGAATGGAAAGGTTGCATTCTGAAGCTTCAAAATTAGCCATATTTTAACCCACCTTCTAGACACGAATCACCACGCAAACTATCCTTGTACGGGAAAAGCCCTAAAAAGTCGTGGTCAGCTCAAGATTTGGAAGTAATTTATACGTATATGTACATGTGATCGGATAAAACAAAAAGGGAAAATGGCAGAGGACGGGGACAAGGATGTAGCATTGACCTTCATTTCGGTAAAAGGAAAGAAATAAAATTGGGCCAAAGCAGTATGCACATTTAGACAAATGTCTCGCCATCTTTCCAACCCTCGGTTGGAAGGAGACAGGTAACATGTCCGCGAACACTTGAGCGAATACACATGAAATGCTGACATATCATGGAAGTGCAAATGGTCTAAAACAACCCATAAGTATTATATTCACTAAATATGATTCGCAAGGAGTGAAATATGCGCAAAATTACCCGAATTCCGGTCTAGGAACCTTCACACCGAAGGCTATGAGAGGAACATGACTCCTGACGTGAATGTATCGGACTGAAAAAAAAACAGTCCCCAAGTCAGTCAAACTCCCAATCACACCCTGTTTTCAATCAATCAGAAGAGAACACACCTTTGCTGATGGGTTCTAGCAAACTCATCGGCATGAACCTCTCCGGATCAATATCCACGAAACTGTCCACCCGTGTGGCTTGCCGCTTGCGCTAAGAAAAGATTAAAACCAGAAAGCACAACTTAACAATAGAAAGAAAATCCCGACCCAACAGCACTAGTTACCCAACTCTCACGCTCCCGCAACTCATTTCGCAAGCGAAGTTCCTCCTCTGCCATACGCTGGTCAGACAGTCGCTCTCGTTTGATCTCCTCCATCTCTAGGCGGGCGTGCCGAGACATGTAGGCGTTGTCTGACGTATCTTCATAGCCGTCAGGTGGGCGAGATCGTTTCAGGAAATTCGCACGAGTGAATTGCGAATTTCGCGACCGAAGAACACGCGATACTCCGGCATCCCCCCTGTAGCGCTCCCTGATTATATCATTTACTCGCCAGGAAGGAACTAGATGCACCAGGAACCGGTCGGACTGATCAAAGCAAATGAGCAAGTAAAATGCCATTAAATGGGAAATTTACCTACCTTCAATTTGTTTTCGTGCCCAGTCTTCCGGGGGAAGGAATGAGTGGATGTCAGAATGGGTCTGACAATAATTAGAGGAAGGACATAAGAGATAAGGTGAGGACCGTCTCATGAGTTTGTCATGCCTTAGTAAGGAATTTGACCGAGAAATTGTGCGCTGATTCCACGTTGAGGGGAGTGTGACCCGAGGCCTAAGAACACGAAATTCAGCGCCCCGACGATGATTAGACACCCCACAAGGGGCAGAAATATGGTTAACAGCATCAATACGAATGGCCGGACGCTTCAGGGATGGCGGAGTATTTTCTTGTGATGCTGATGCATTCATCAAGGTCTGATTCAATGCAGATTGACGACACCGATCTTGCGACCTCGATCTTCCTGATTTTGGATGAGACGGGGAGGTAGGAGATTTAAGAAAGACAGACGATGGACTGCAAGGCCGTTTCACCAAGCCGGGAAGGCGATGATTGGAGCCGGTAAGGTATAATAAAGGGTCAGGAGCTGCAGATTTAGTAAGTAAGTTATTGAGCTTAAAGAACGAACAAAAAGATGAATCAATGACATACTTGCCACAGCGTTATCAGCATTGCGTTCGAAGGCGAAGCTTCGAAATATCGGCCTCGACATCGAGGACCTGGGAAGTAGATCGACTAGTTTCTGGGCCAGCATATCTGCGTCAGAATGCTAGAATTAATGGAAATTTGACCATTCCACATTCGTAAACAGACGGACAAACAGAGAGCAAGCAATACCTTTTCTGTAGTGAAGCAGGTTTTTGACGAACGTAAGGAGTGTACGTACATTCGAGCGACAATTGCTGGCATAGTTCAGAAGTCAGACCATGTAGACGCGAATGAACACCCGAGACGCCACCCAAAGAACTACAGGTGAAAACATGGTGCACAAATTTGACTCTTTCAGTAGTCGATTTAAACACAATGAGTGACTATTCGCGCACAATGTTGATGGTCGATAATTATTATATTTTATCTATTGATTCAGCTTAGCTGAATTTTCTTGTAGCAAATAGCGCATAAGATGCACTAATAGAAATATTGCGACAACTCGACTACGTCTCAGTGTTTTCTGCTATAATTCATCGATGGGTGTAGAGGTCCATGCGCTCATTTCACATCACTTTCTCTACGCTGTGGTTGAGCAGGCTGTCTCTAGCTTGAAGCTCAGTACCTCAAGTAATTCGCGAACGCGCAGCGTTAATAGTGCCGGGGAGTCCAATTTACGCCTGTTTTAAAATTATGTACTCCTTTTCCAAGCGTATTCATGTAGCGTCCCGAGACTTTCTAGCCGGTATAAGAGGTCTGTAAGTGCAGCTGGATACATGCATCCCGAAGACGACAGGGCAAATGCGCCTGGGCATGGCCCGAAGGCCAGTCCACGTGTACAAAGACCAGACAACTTCTAAAGTAATCGCCAAACAGCAGATAGTCACATAAACAAAGCATTACAAGTCAGAACATAATCCTTCCTCCCATGAAAAAGGTGTTGCAAAAAATATAACTTTAGAGTATATTATAAGCAATTTTCGATTTGATATAATTCGTGTGTTTATAATTGTTTAGAGAGTTGTATCTTATGTAGAGCCTGTGTTTAATACCGATTGATTTCAATTTCTAGCACACTATCTGCTTAACCAAATTTATTACTTTTTAAAACGTCGAAAGCCACATTGGTACCATGTATGTAGTGTAGCGCCCGTTTTAAATGATGTTAGCAACTGTGACATTACTACAAGTGGGATCCGTGATGCGACTAAAAATGCATAATTCTTTTGATTGCAAAACGCTCCACTTTTCCTATGTCGAATATGGGAGACTGTTAATGTGTCCGTAATCATATTTGCGAAGTCTAAGCCCAATAATTTGCATTTTGCTCCAGCAGTTTATGCCAGTAACGTCTCCAGACTTCCCATTAGGTTATAGAAGGCCTTTGGTAGGTCTGAATACTTGTATTTAGAAATAAGACGAGTGGAATGGGCTTTGACTTGGCTAGCCCACCCGGTCAACTGCAAGATGAACTTCATCTTAACCGCCGTCCACCTCATGCAGTCAAAAAAGCTAAGCATTTTATCTAATTGCTTCAAAAATAAGTAATTCAAAAGTTTAAAGTGTTTAGTACCTGAGCTACGTGGTTCTGAGGCAATGCTAGCCTCGTATTCTATTTGCGCGCCTCTGTGTAAACAATGGAAATTACGCATAACTTGTATGCACTTTAAGTTTTACGTGTAATTTATCGCGGTTGCGATGATGCAAAAAAACCAGGTTTCATGCATGGAGATGGCAAAACTTATTCACTCGCACCTAAGTTTTCAATTTAACTAATGACGGACTTGCATATTGCGCTACTTGTACCCTGAAAAGGCGTAGAGAAAGATTATCTGATTATCTGATCCACCGCCGTACTGACTCCGCAAGGACAGTTCGGACGTATGGATGAGTGCATAGTGCCTTGTCAGGGAATGACAAAGTTCGGGATTAAGCGAAATTTGGAGGTTTTATTTTCGTTCTGCTAAGAAAAAGGAAACTTGTCGAGTAGAGGTTGAACGTGGGAGCTGTGAACAAGTTCGCATTGCAACGAGATATGATGACTTGCGGATGCTGTCTAACAGATGTGAGGCTGTATGTTGTGGCAACTTCCTGAATGGACATGAAGTCTTTGATCCCCTATCCTGCGCTCCATGCTCCTGTGAATCGGTTCATGATTACCAACGATCCGCGAGAAAGAGAGATTCTCAAACAAGGTTTCTGGTGGGTTTCGAGAACTGTTACTATCGTGACTGGTCACTACTCAGGTCGGAGGCGGTGGGGGAGGGTAATTTGTGTCCACTGTCCACACTTTGCTCCAAAGTCAAAGTTAACTGGCAGCACGTCAGACATCCTCACTTAACTGGTCCCTTGTTTCGCTCTGTTTGCTGGGTGCGGTGCTTCCACACAACAACGCTGAGGTCTCAGGCGAATGCAGACCTTGGATTAAGCTTGCATCCCTCGCCCACTCGGCCCTTGCATTGCATCCTCCATCTACCAGCACGTATCTTCGCACTCGGTGTTGGTTCTCCCTCCCTCCCTCCCTCCCTCCCACCCCGTTGCGTCAATGTAGGTGGCAAGAGGACACTCACTCTCCTCCATTCATGACTGTCCGATGGTGTGTGTGTGTGAGACGTTAACTCGTCCTCCTCTTCGTACGTCTGTCTTGGTCTATTGGACACTGTCCCACACAACGTCACCCACCACACCTTCTCAGGGTGGAGGATAACTTGCCATTGTCCGCTGCTGTGCAGGTCCCATGGTTGAGCCACAACTGCACTTTTACATGCAGTCACACACACACACACACACACACGTGCGTGTGGATGTTGGCATTAATGAAAGGCGACTGGTTCGCTGCTGACGCCAAAACATCGAGATCAGTGTGGTGAGGAGGTAGAGTTTTGTCTCGGGTGGAAATGAAGGCAACTGTGGGGTGAAACGGTTCTCGATGGTGCAGCCTCATAGCAGGCCAACCCACTTCTACCTCCTCCTCTCCTCTCCTCACCTCACCTCACCTCCCTCCCTCCTTACCTTCCTTCCTCCCTCTTTCTCTCCTCCTTGGCAGTAGTGGCATGTGATGGAGTGACTGACTGAAATGAACTGTCATTTTTCGCTTACCGATGGCATTTTGATGTGTCAGTGGCCACTTTTGAAGTGTCAAAGCATTGCAGTCTCAGTTGACTTGATTTTCCACATTTTGTTAACTCACTGCTCTCCAATTAAACACATTTTGGGGGTTACACAATTGTTTTTCCTATTTTCATCATTGCAATGCTTTGCGCATGCAACTACTTTCCGTTCGGCGGTCACTTTGGGACTTGTCCGGTCCTCCTACCCGTGGGCTGGTGCTCGGGCCACGCTCAGGCGCAGTTGCTTTGATGGCTTTGGAATACGTGCATTCAGCCCCACTTACCACCGTCTTCCTCCCGGAGAGATGTCTCAGGTCGCTGCACAACATTCTCGGCTCAGCTTCTACTAGCTTCCATCAAATGAGCTTCATGGACAAATCTTGAAATCTACTTATTCAAGCCTACACAGTGCCTTCTTCCACTCTGTGAGAAGTCTCGAACCGCAAAGCGGACATTTTTTAACGACTTCTATGCTAGCACGTCTCGTTTGTTGTGTGTACCTACGGTGTGGAGGAGGCGCATTTACCTCGGTGGCGGGAGAATCGCTGAATCCTTCACAACAAAAAGGCTTGCGACTGACGTCTGCATTTGGCTTCACGTTATCCCTGTTTTCCACAGACAACTGAAGCGACACCGCCGCGAACCATCTGGAAAAGTTTCGTGTTGGAAATTTCCACACAAAATCCGTGTTTAGGTGTTGGAGATAACACAACGGTTCTCCTCGCATACGGCACAATGGCTCATCCCGTTTCCCCTGTAACATGTCCGTTTTAGACCAGAGTTGCACTGTCTATTCTTGGAAGCAGTTGTTGGTCAAAAGGTGTATGCGGTCCCGAATCTGATTGTCAGACCGAAGGTAACTGCAGATGCAGTTGAAGCTGCCGAGGAGACCAGGCACGGTTCCGCAGTCTCGTGTTGTCTCTCGACTGGCGCGGTTGGCTCGTGAGTGTTTTCATGTACTGCCGAATACGTTGTGATTGCTGACTGGCGCGAGAGGTGTGCCAAAGGGGAGCGTCGAGGACGCCGTTCAACAGAAGAGAGTGGAAGTGTAATACTTTGTTTTTGTGACCACATGACTTTTGGCGGTCACTTTGGGACTTGTCCAGTCCTCCTACTCGTCATCGGGCCACGCTCAGGCGCAGTTGCTTTGCCCTCTTCAAAATGCATGACTTCAGCGTTTTGTTATTCCCTTCTTCCACCCTGTGAAAGGCTTCGGGACGCTAAAATCATCTGTTCAATTTATGTCCCGCCACTTTCGGTAACCATGCGTAAAGTTGCCTCTCTCATTCCGGTATGAACTGCAGACTATTGTCCGACATTGCCATTTTCGGAGCTCAGAAAAATCGGTTCTACTTTTGCAGCACCGTCGAACCGAACACCGCATTCAATTGAGTTTAAAGTAGTGTCTGAAGGTGAGTTGGTGGAATGGAAACTCATGAAGAAATAGAGAGTCCTTCTTTGTGCTTCAATCTTTCATGTTTCTGGTAAGCACTTTCTGTACTAAAAATACTTTATTAAAAGACTGCAACGCATTAGGCGAGCTTCAGATTGCTACAATCTTCCCACCGCTATTGTCGAATTTCCTTTCAGCTGTTTCCTTGGATTATCGCTTGTTTGCGTTGACTTTGGAGGACATTTTTTGCAGGAGGAGGGGAGAGGCAGTGCCTACAACGATGGGGAGCGAAGCGCCCCTCGCCTCCTCAGGCATGGCGTTTCAAACGACTTTTTGCCTCTCCTCCAATGCATAGCACAATGGTAGGATGTTTTGAACACCTTTGCGTGTGAATGAAGAAAATTTCAATGCATCCGCCGTCTTGGAGGAGCGTGCGGGCAATCCGCAGGGATCGCAGTGATCTCCTCGCACCTCTTTTTTGTCCTTTCTATTCAACTTAGTAGCCCCTCAGAGAGGACCTTCTTTAGGAAAGTTCCAGAAGAAGGCTTTGGAGTCTCGAGTAGCGCCTACAACTCCTCTTATTAACTTTAAGTGTTCCAGTTTTTCCCTTTGACCTTGTGAACAGACTTTCCTGTCCAAAGAGGAAGCAAGAATAGAGACAACTGCAAGAGTTAGACGGCTTGACATCAACTGTTCCAGTAATCTCCTTAACATGAGTCCATCTTGTGCGTTTTGATCGCGCACACAATGGATGGCCATTCATGCGACTCCTTCGACACCAAAGCACTTCTTTGAAGAGGGCGTCCTTGTGAAACACTCAATGCAACCTCCTCAGACTTTCTGTAAGACTGTAGAAGGCATTCGATGGAGCAAAATGGAGGGGAGAAGTGGAATCTGGCCACGTTCCAAGTCCAGCCCACACGCCCAAGGCCATGCTGGGCAGCTAAAAGTGAGCTCCAGGGATTGAAGTAGTTGAAAAAAACGATGCATTGCCATCCCAGGGCAGGTGTAAAGTCGGTCCGATTTACGTCACCACACCACAAAACCTGACGGATTGATTGATTTGGTGATGAAAGACGCGAGACGCTACGTTCACCGCTTTATTTATTTGTGAAATAGCAGATCTGACTTCTGTTTACGTTATCGCACGTCCGATCTCGAGAGAGAGACTTTCGAGCGAACGAAATCATTGTGACGTTTTATGAGGTGGGGGGTGGGTGGGGGCGGGGGGAAAGAGCTACTGTCTCAACCACCGCACTGGTTGGGATGTCCAAGAGACTCCTCCTTCCTCCGGCTGACAGGTCATCTTGATTGTCACACGCGTCAAACTTTTGGCAGGCATGCGATCCTTCCTCATGTCGGTTCCATTGAAAGATAGTCTAACTCCACTGCTCCTTTGACCCAACCAGCCCCAATTTTTAGTTCAGGGGGATAAATTTTAGATCCAATTTCTTGATCTCCACCTGTAAGCCATTCGATCATTCTAAAACTCCAACAAACTGTTGCATTCGAAGCCTCTCAAGTCACTTCACTGTCTCCCCAAAGACTCTGCAGATCTCGCCACATCAACGAATTTGCAATTTCAACCAAAAATTAAAAAAAAGAACCCCATAAAAAGATGACATTTTGTTAATAATTGTTTATAAATATTCCAATCGGCGATTGTGCGTGCATCGATGTGCGCACACACACACACACACAAAGCACGTATAAAAGGCGAATTTACAGACAGATGTGCATTGCTCAATCCGAGGTGGTCGTATCACCCCATTTGTACTCATTTCTGATGCACAAGAGACTTTCATGGACAACTCTACAGGGATGCTTTGCCATCCTAATGGCCTGTTGTGGTTTGGCCCCATTGGGACATCTCACCACCTTGGGTGAGTGTGTGTGTGTGTGTGTTCGTCTCTAACATCCCTCTTAGCCAATGTGATGCCCTACCTCGCCTCCTACATGCACATGTACACCGATGTCAGCGTTGACTACAGTCTGGCCATTTGGCTCTCCTGCTGTCTCCATGCCATTCAGGGCATCGCCACTCCCACCACTGCTGTCCTCATCTCACGAGTGGGCTACAGACCGTTGCTTCTATTTTCGTGGATTGTTCACAGGTACGTCAACTTGTGTATAGGGCATTCAGGGAGGGTGGGGGAGAGGAGGGGGAAGGTGCGATTTTATGCCTTCTGCTATCCCCTTTTGTATGTTTTTATATCAGAGTCTTATTCTTGATTATTAATAATGTAACGACTACTAAAAAACCGATGATCTCCAAGAGCAGTGAAGCAGTATGTCTTACGCATGTGTCCTCGCTTTGGTTCAAATATTCAGCCTCTCTCGCTGGATGATTTTTCCTTTGGTCACATGATGGATCCCTTCTATGCTCATATCAACACAAGGCGTCTTGAGCTTTTCCCCACAATCCTGATAAGTTAAGCACCACTGGAATGAAGGGGACCACTGCCTTGCTGACGATCTAACAGGCTAGTGGTGTAAGTAGCAGCCCCAAGCACAAAGTGAGAATATGTGTGCGTGCTTAAAAATTAGTAATGAGAGCATCGCTCCTTCGGAGACCGTAGTCGTAGCCCCGTAAACTGTGATTGCATCGCTTTCCAAGTTTGACTTGTTAAAACAGTCCAACGCCTTTGCCTTCTGAGCAGGCCTTCTTACCTTGCTCACTGTCCTCTTGAAACATGTTGCACCTTTTTGGAAACTACAATCACTTGTTCCCTCTACTCAAATTCCGCGAGGTTAAATTTCATCAAGTTCATGGAATACCAAATTAGATTTTTTCTTTAATTTTCTTTGTCCACATAATCACAGTTTTGACGTTGAGAAGACAAGGGATTCCGTTTTCACCGCCCTGTAATAGGGCACACCATTTTCACCTAAAAGACGGCAAGAATTGTGTAAAACCACCAAGTGTATGACGACTTAGCATTTAACTTGTGGATACTATAGACACAATTTTATACAACAAAAAATCTTGTTTTATTTCACTAAATTGAATAACAGATGAGTTGATAAGTCACCCCACTTTGGTTAAGACTTTCATTGTTACATTAAAGGCATAATTATCCGAGGGATC